TCTTCATCCTGCTCTAAATCAGGGCCTGGATAATCCCCCCCTCATCCTACAAAGTACCACTACTACAACAGAGCTGGAGCCATCAAAGACCTCAAGCTGGGTCAAGAATCTGCTACAGTGATTACAGATGGTTGCTTTTCCTTTTATACGGCATTTTAAATGAACTGGTAATGGAGCCGCAATCAGCAGCCCTTCATAGGTAGAAGACAGCTGGTATAATATAACTGAGTGGCAACAAGTTTAAAACTGGGCCGTTTGAGAAGGAGAACCTGCCCACGTCCCAGATCACGTCCTAGTTCATATTCAGTGTCCAAACATAATTCAACGGCCCTCATTACCAGAAAGGTCCAGTGAGTCGGGCAGCCGGCTCAGGTTCTTCCGTCCTTCGTGTAGGCACCCCGTTCTCATTTGCATACAGATGGACAGTGTGGTGGAATCATATTAGGTGTCCTCTTTCTTTTTGTCTGTGCGGGTCACAACTCCAGCGGTGGGCACAATGCTCAGTGTACTTCAAAAGGCCGGTCACACCTGGGAGTGCCAGGAGAAAGGGGGCGGCCACCCGTGGCCAGCCGCACAGATGGCCTCTCACGCTGGAGCACAATGGACGAGCTGTAAGTGGTCCACGTGTAGAATTACACATGAAAGTGCATAGTAATTCCCCGCCCAAATTTGTGCGCCATGGTGCACGAGCACATCTCATCACTATTTCATCATCATACTTTCTTTTACACGAGGGAAAACATATTGTGTGGTGACATTCGATGGGGCGGGGAGGGGCTGATTAACAGATCCTGTTTGTTTGTGATATGCCCTGTTCTCTTTAGGGATCAGAAGGTGTTAGCACTAGCCAACAAAGCTAAAATTAATTTAAGATTAGTAGTGGGGTGGAAAGGATATGCAAGCTTATGTAAGAATACATACTTGGCTAGCAGGAAGGGAACAAAGCATTTGTTCTGGAGGTCGATGGAGGTTAGCAGATGCTTTCACTGACACGGAGGCAGCCAAGCAGACAGGAAGACATGCATCTCATTGAACAACACCGTGAGGGGGTGTTCTGTGACCTGTTGCCATCTCGTTCCCTGGCAACAAGTCCTCCAAAGCAGCACCGTTCGTGCTATAGAATTTTTGAGGAATGCAGTAGGTGGATAGAAGTCAAGACCGACAAAATCCTCTTCCAAGGAAAAGTGCCTTTGGATCTTCCGTAACATCAAGCTATGGCAGCTTACCCCAAGATCCTGTTAAGAGCATCTATTTCATCCATAACCCTGATCAGTCCACTCTCAGTGTGGTGGTCTCTACCGCAAAGATTTGGCATCCATGCAGAAGGAAAACTGCAGAGCTAGCTTACTGGGAGCTCTTTTAGTGTGGGCGATGCTTAGCCACGGGCTCAGGAGTGGTCCTCCGTTGAGACACGCAAAACACACAAGGCACGTCATGAGGATTTGTAACAGTGATTTAAGGGTGGTGGAACACTAAATGATCACTTCCATGTCAAACCGAGAAGGGCTATGCCTGCAGTCCTGAGAGTCAGGTGGTACATAAAATAGGGAAAGAGAGAACAAGCAGACTTCAGCCCACCCACAGCCAAAGCCATTAACTCCTACACATACATGGACAAGCCATGTTCAAAGAAACACCAAGGAGGTAAAGTAGTTAAGGCCATGAATGATGATCTGAGTCCAAATAAATTTAACAATCAGTTAAAAAAAAACAAAAAAAAACAAAAACCACTAATGCTTAGCAGCGATTGACAGATGGTAAGCCCTTCTCCAACTATAAAAAGACTACAGACAGATTTCATGCCGCAGGCAAAGTTTGAATGGTTAGCACTGCTAGAAAATAATAAGCAGGTATGACAGTCCCTTGACACTTGCAGTGTCGTTATGCACAGTTTGCAAGAATTCATTGCTGGCAGCGTGCCCTGGCTCCCCCGTCAACATTCAGTTGCAGTGGAACAGCCTCTCCCCTCCTCCTTCCTACATTCTTCACTTGGATCTTTCCTTTCTCTGCATCAGTGTAGGGATCTATACAGATATCGTTTACTTAAACGTCAATAAGGGTATTAGAGGTCTGAAATGAGAGACCTGCCCTCAGCCGAAGCAGCTCAGACAGACCTCATTTGCTAAAAAAAACTAGAAAGAAAATCATTTCATGAGACAGAACTCAGCTGATGTATCCAAAAATTCATCAACTGGGTAGTTAACTAAGATAGTGACTGTGCACTGAGGGATACTGGTGAGTTTTAGATGCTCAAGGATCACTTTAGCCCTACCAAACAAAAGGCCTGCAAGTTGAAACACTACAAGCAACAACACCTCTTTGGCATGCATATAAAGCTTATAAAGCTTTGGATCCCTTGACAACAACTCTACCTTTAGAACTAGAAAACCAGTGAAACTGAGTGGTAAGAAAAAGGCCAAAACAAAAGGCCAGTCTCCTCCTACCGCTCCGGACTTTTTCCAAAGAACGTTGCATCTAGCCAGAACGTGCCAACAAATTGGTTGTGTAACTTGACTGCCAGCCTGTCAGGTGAAAGCATAACCCTTTACTACTATCCATTCCACCTCCTTTGGGGGAGAATTAACAGATTAGCATGCTACAAGTTCACATTAACATGTGCTCCTGTGCCATTTGTGCACATAATTCATACGTATGAAACATTATCAGTCATGTTTTGGGCAGTGCTAAGGCAGGGCTAAGGGTGGTGATGATGGATCAGGGCTGGGCTTTCAGCAAATCGACAAGCCTTCCTGCTTAAGAGAAACCTCAAGTGTAAAGAACCAGCACTAACTTGCTTTAAATACAAAACAATGCAAACAATACTGTTTAACTCGCCACTGGCATTTTAGGTGAACTATATGTGCTACAGCATGCAGTTCAAGTTTTGAATATTAAAAAATACACTTTGTCCAAAAGTAACCAGACACACCTTCTAATTAGTTCAGCTACTTTAAGGTGCACCCATTGCTGACCCAGTGAATGAAGTGTGCAAACACATCTTGTATAATCTCCACAGAACAGCACAGCCAATAGAACGGGATGCTCTGAAGCAGCCGCACAAGCAGCCGCACAAGCCTAAGGTTTCTATGCCCAACGCCAAGTGTCAAGTAGAGGGGTATAAAGCTCTCTGGTATTGGGCTGTGGAGCAGTGAAACTGTAAGTGACGGAGCTCCATCCAGTACGTCTGGGATGACGGAGTGGAGTCTGTGATGCAGCATCAATAACTGACCTCACTAATGGTCATCACTAAAACAATCAAATCCTCAGAGCAATATTACAACATCTAGCGTTAAACCTTCCCAGACATTCACTTATTCCAAAAAGCATCAACTGTCACAGCACTTTCTGAGTTGAAATCACAGAACAGTTGACAAAAAAGTAGCTATTATGATAAGTAAGACTTGGTGAAGCTTACATAAAGGTTTATGTAGGTTTATACCACTTGTAAGAAAGTCTTATGAAGGTGTCATGTAGTCTTAGAAATCGTTGCTGCTGGGACAAAACTTTGTATCTCCAAATTAGTAACTTTATAGGAGGAGCAAAAATGTCTTCAACTTTAAATGAAAGTTAATGGAACAAACGCCCCCCCAGTACCTTGGGACCATTTCTATTGGCCTATTTATCATGAAAATTTAATAAAATGTAAAGGCTAAGTGACATTTTCAAATTATGGCATAATAATAATAATAATAATACATCCAAATGGAGACAAAATGCTGCCTTCCAGTAAAGTGTTACCCAAACTTCCTATTAATAGCCTTGATTTCAGAAGAAACGTTGGACAAGCAGGTGTCTACAAACTTCTGTACTTACAGTGCATAAGGTCAAGGTAATTAGAAAATAAAATACACAAACATAGCACACATACTTCCCTGCCAAGGAGACGTCTGTATGTGTGAATGGCCCTGGACAAAACAGATTAATGGCAGGCTCACAAAGAGCAACATCTGGAATATTCACAATTTAAATACCTAATTCTAGGCCTATTATTCTGATGCCAATGGCAATGGGACAAGGCTGCAGATGCAGGGGGTAGAGTTGGACAACACTTCTGATTGTGGGGGGGGTGATAATTAGAAAGGCAGTCACAGAGCTGGCAGGCTTCCTTTGGCTGTTCAAAAAGGGACTCTGATAGGAGAATTCAGGGAAGGTTTCCTTAAAAACTTACCTCGAAAGAAAACACAGTGCATCTCTTTTAATCAAATCTGACTGGAGCCAATAGTTACTGTTAAAGGCACATCAAACCTAAATCAGCTAAGTTTGTGTGTGGCAGAGGTTCAAATTTCTAAATAAACAATACATGAACAGCACTGAAAATCCAATGTATATAAGGTAACTAGTGTAGCAAAAACTAGTGCAGCACTTACTAAACTTGGTAATACATCAAGCAGGCTTGGTTAAACACTCCACACATCAGTTTTCCTTTACCCTCCCTCATGCACGCTCATTGTGTGCCTTGTTGTGTGCCGTGGGGTTGCTATGGCAAAGCTGTGCTAGTTGTACTTAGTTACTTGATGCTATTATTTGTGCGCCTTCTCCCCAACCACCTGTCCCACCCCCACAATCCTTTGCTCTGGACATCCATCAGTAACACAGTCTAATGATTACCACTGCAACTAATAGAAAAGGGGTGAACACAAACATTGCCTTGACAACTCACCCTTTCTCCTACATCCTACAGACAAAGTTCAGTAACTGAGAGCTTTTTCTAACCCCCAGGGCAGGTCCGGAGGACGAGAGTACGCACCCTGCTTACATTAACACAACGCAGACGTTCACTTTCTATAGATAAGATGAGAATGTTCTATATCAGTGGGACTCGTCTTAAGCCAGAAATAAGCTTTCACAAGATTTTGTGCAGTGAGTCACTGCTTGAAGTACAAGTTGGAAACTGCATTAGCATTTATAATGGAGCTCAGACTTACAGCTGTCGACGACAGATAAGCAAAGATCAGCCAAAGCTCCACTGTAATGACTCAAGTAATGCAAGAGTAGGTCAGTTTATGGCTTTAGGCAACTTTATTCATTTACACCGAATTCAGATCAATATAATACAGATAGTGCACATGCAAGACTTCATATCTGAAATATATATATTATCAAATCATATATTACCTATTTGAAATATATATATTTGCATCAAGTGCAAATGCATAAAATAAAACAAAGACATTTAAAGGAAATAGTATGAAATCATCATAAAGAAATCAAGTATACAAAGAGAACACTTACGTAAACAGCACCTTGTTGCTGTTGAAATATGAACAATAAAATCAAGCATAAAAGCACTGGTGTATAACAACATAATTTCATTTCATCCTCTCTAAAGAAAAATCTAAATAAAAAGATTGTGGGACACAAACATATAAAAACACTCCAACAATAGCCCAGTGATATAACTAGTAACCCAAAATTGTATTAAAGGCTTAAAAAGATAACACTATGCTTTTCAACACATCCAGAACAACTTCGGTTTTCATACGCATATGCATTCAGTGATTCCTCAAGATACAATATTATGTTAACCATATGTATAATAAGTCATGTTAAAACGATGAACACTCACAAACAAACAAGTGCCATATAGAGGATTCATTAAAGGTATACCATGTATACTTGTTTTCTTTAATTCTGCGTTTTTGTTCTGGGCCGGGTTTCCCAAAAAACATCTCAGAACAAATCTGATTATTAAATGGTAGAGCGAGCATCATGCTGAACACTCTCTCTACCTCTGTACCTAAGATGCTTTTGGAAAAATGGGCCCAGAACATTAAAAAAATGTTTTTTACTGCTATGATGAGAGAGATCCAAGAATGGAAAGCCTGTTTCTGTACATTGCGCACCAAGACCTGTCAAAATCCAGGTGTTCCAGTTCCACTGAAGCAATTCCGGTGTCCAACCCAGACACCCATATTTTGAACATAACACCGGGAATTTGAAAGGCATGTGTGGAGCGTGGGTGTTACAAACAGCCTTTCACTGCTTTAGACACATTTCAAATAGTCAAAACCTTAAAATCGCACATAGTATATCTTTAAATAATAAAATGATAGTAGATACGTTTCAGCTTCTCAATTCACATATTCAAATGATTAATAAATGGAGTATTTGTTGCCACCAAAGAAACAACAAAATACACAGACAACAGCTGTGCGACTATGAAAAATAGTGTAGTTACTATTCCTGCAGGAGTGGCGCTTGCCGTAAATAAAACCAGAAGGTGACGAGTCTAATTTAACAGTTACTGTTAATAACACGAAGCAAGCTTGGGCTGCAGAAGAAGTCCATTAGACCCTGGCAGCATGTGATAGCTCATGACATCAGGTGTTTTTCCCCCAAGACAATAATCCAAGTAGGTATAGAGTAGTATAAATAGTACCATAGAAGGTGTGGGATTAATGATATGCGTGTTCAAATATCTGCCAAATGTCACTTCCGAAGAGAAACCACAGAAATATCATGTGCAAAATACAACAACACTATGTATGATCTTCAAGTATTTGTTTTCTGGGATAGAGATTCAGATGTTAGTCATTGTGACTGAAGAAGAGACAGTGCCCATGTCAAATTCACTGTGTAATATGCCATCACAAATCAATATATGCTGTCATATTAGTTTTTATATTGGCTTCATATAATCCAGTATATCTCCGCAGGCAAGTCTGCACTCCTGGAATATTCTGGGAATAGTCAAGGAATGTACATGGACAATAATGTAGGTAAGGAAAGATTACGATAAATTAGTAGACTGTAGAGAAGAGGATGGTCAGGGAGTTCAAGATGGTACTACATCTACAGTAAGTGCAAACTACTCTTCAAAGGAGCTACAGTACTTGTTAGATTGTGTTTAAACCTTATTTCATGATTGTAAGTTCTTCATAAATCATTCGCCAACATTAAATGATTTCTAAGATGGCTTTTAATTAGTCAGAGCAAGGCATCATGGCAAATTACCAAAACAATCTTCGAATGTTTTTGTTAGGTACCATGAGCACACACATGTTGATTTGTGGATTGCAAAGTTGATTCCGTCTTTGCATGAGCACTAAGGAATAAATCCCATGCATGTGACAACCTGCTTGGCTAGTAAAACAGTTCTGATGATTGTGCATGCGAAGCATTGGCTTGTCTTTTTTATATTGTCAACAGTAGCAGCCCATTTATTTTATTCCTTTTACATGTAGCTCCTTTTAAGAGATACCAGCTCGGTGTTAAGTATTGATAAAGAGCATTACCTCTAACCCTGAATGTCCACAAAGTCTGCTTTGGACCTGAGATGTCTGTAAGTGCTTGGCTATTCTTTGCTCCGTCAAGAACAGCCCTATTATTGTCAAATATGGTGGTATATCCTGCGCTTAGTTAGGTAGCTGCCTGCGTGCTAACATAGCAGTCACACTGTTTATCGTGTGACAGTGTTTTTTTGTTTTTTTTTGACAAAATTGGGCTGCAAACCTTGAGGGAAAATGGCTGTATATCATCAGGTCAATGACCTGCGGCAAAGATCAGTTTCTCCAAACCTTCCAGTGTAGAATAACGTCACCAACTTACTCTTTCTAACTCCATCTCATGAAGTTAGAGAAGAACAGTTTGCCATTATGGTATTTAAGGGCCATGGTGAGATTTTTCAAAAGAGTACCCTTCTACAATTTCGGACTCATTAAAAGCAAAGCATTCAGTTTCACAAAACAAACTCACAATGACCCTGTTCAGTTCTATGGCAACCTATTGGGACTTCTCCGCTACCAAGGAAAGAGGATCGCTTACACCAGTTTGTGGCAAAGGTTGAAACAGGACAATAGTTAAGACCGGTAATATTAAAAATAAAAAAACAAATAAAGACACAGTCATTGACCAGATTAAACAGTAGATTAAGTAGTAATAAAAAGTTAGATGCTGCAGGGGGGTTTCTAGGAACTGCAGTGGTCATTACACATTGGTGGAGATCTTGTACTTGGGTGACATGTTGCTATGGAACCAGATGAAGCTAAAAATGACGCCCATGGTTTTCGGGACGCTCTCGTCATAGGCGAAAGTCATGGCCTCGTGCAGCGGCACTTTGACCACCTCGATCAGCTCGCCCTCTTGAAGTTTTCCACCTCCCTCGCCAACCCGGTTCTCATCCGACACCTCGGCATAGAACATGGTCTGCTTGGCTCCGGTCACTCCCACCCCTGACCTGTGGGGCACACAGACAGAGTAGGTAATTCCCATGTGCCACTGGTTATTCTCTTTTCGTGAAAACAAATAGAGATGGATGACAAAGCAGAACAAAGACATATTAGAACACGTTCCCTTCCGTCTCCTTCGGATCGTGGTCAGCATTACATAATATCAGCACTTCAACAGGAGCCTCTGTGAACCCAAAACTGGAAGGCTTCCAACCTCTGAAGAAAGAGCTGGCATGGTGATAAACGTTCCCCGACGCTGGCGGAGTTTGGGTTAAGACGCAAATGGTCCTGAAGCTCTCCCTGAGGAGCAGGAATTCTGATCTCCACAGCTGCACCTTAAGCCGGGCAGGCTTAACAGCCCAGCCAAGCTGCTTCCCGACCATGTTTTCAAATGGCAGCCTCACAAAGTTGATGTGGGGTTCGTAGGGCTTGATGTGCTCTACTACGTGGGCCCTTCAGGCAATCAGAGATGCTTCTAAGGCCACAGATGGAGGTGATATTACAGTAAGCACTACTGTGCCTGAGGCGTTGCCTCACCTGAGACACTGTCAAGGAGATGTCGTTATGGTGATCTCCCAAAAGGCCCAAAGGGCATTAGAGAAACTGTAGACCTGGAACTCTTCCTTCCTTTTCCTGAAATAGTACCTTAAAATAAAGTTAGTTGCTATGAGCTCAAAAATAGGGAGGACGGGGAGAATTTAAAATGAGTTTCTGCTCAGTAGCAAAGAAAGGAATAACAGAATTAAACTTCGGAGGTGAAGACCAGAACTACTTATACAAGCTCAGTCTAACCAGAATGTGTGGGCTGGGGTTGCAAAATACAACACTGAATTCATTAGCATCATCAGGGAATTTCGCAGCTTGCGTTATAGTTGCTGGGAGAAGCCAATCCAAAGATTGCGTATGAAACAGAGAGCCCACTGCCCACATTCACTTTTCTAAACATCTCTACAAAGGAATCCGAACAATGTTTTGATAATACAGAAGGCACCTGGTATTTAATGGAGAGCCCGGAATCAAGGCCTGAACCAAACAGGCTGGGCTTGTGAGAGCCTGTAGCTGAGAAGGCCCACAAGCTTACTGTTTAGGTGCACAGTTTAAATGCACATGTTGGGTATTGTTACATAGGGGTATGGGGGACATTGTGACACCCACCCATCGTGAGGGGAAGACGAGACAGAAAACAAGAACGATAATCCCCGAGAACTGCAGGCACCCTTGAGTCATTTGGAAGACAGTTTTCGTTTTTTTTGAGACAGGTGAAATTTAGGTCACTCTATAAAGCAGCAGTGGAATGACATGTATGACATTATCACCTATTAATTTGAGGTGATTACAATTGTTTCCTGCAATCAAAAGTTGATGTCACAAAACACAATGTGGTTTGGGTGCATTTCCGCTAGGTGGGTTGAGACAAATACATGTAAACAAAATAAATCAGAAGACACATTTATTGAGACACATCATGGATTTGACAAGAAAAACCAAAAGCTCTAGCTTCTGATTTGGCACTGTAGCACATTTAGAAAGCAGCAGTCAGTAATGTTTGTTTATTTGAGCTTGAGTCGTGTCTGTAGTCAGATGGGAGCTAATAATAATCAACAGCCAGGAACCAAGATATCTAATCAGCCAATGTGGCCACTTCAGGTTTGTACTTTTATACCTGCATTCAAAAAAAGAGAGAACTGTTTAATTATTAATGTGAATTCAGTAAATCGCAATTAATCATCTGGTAAAATGTCATAATCACGACAGGCCTTTTGAACACAATGGCAATGAAAACATTTGGCAGAGTGAACTATAAAAAGCAACTAGTAAAGCAGCATTCTCAACATGAAGCAATCAGGCACATCAGTCCATGTGATTTCATCAAGAGCCTCCCAGCTGGCTGCCTGTCTACCATCAGAAAATAATGTCATTGTATGATATAAATAGTATTCTATCTTTTAAGCTTGTATCATCAATATTTTCTCAGATATAGAGGATTTACAAGGTGGGTAAGGCTGCAGTTCTTGACTTTGATGAGTTAGTTTTTGAATACTGATGCTAAAAATTTGATATTTTCAAGGATTATTATTTGGTTTGCCATTTAAAGCTCTGTTGTACATCCATTCAGTTTTTTGTATTTACTACTCATATTACAGTTCTCTTTGGCCAATTAAGAATTTCTTGAGTAGATTTCTGTTTTATGATCCATTAGGATTAAAATATTCACATATATTCCAAAGGCATATTGCTCATCTCTGCCAAAGTCTACTAGAAGTTATACCATTGACTTCAGTTAATAAATGTACCTGGAATACAAATGGTGCTATATGGTGCTATATTACAGCCATGAAGTTGGTTATTAAAAAAAGTCCATCTGTTTCAGTCATGTGACCTTTTTTTGCCTCAGCTATATTAATGGCCATCCTCTGCTACATCTTAGCAAGACAATGATGGTGGAGAATTAAAAGACAGCAAATCTCAGCACTGAAAAACAGTGATGATAAAAATAAATAAATAAATGATAACTGGTATGGAGTCATATGTAGTTCACAGTAGTTACTGATTTGAAGTGTCTGCCAAGGATAAAAGTTAGCACATCACTCCACGCAGAGGAGACTCCATTTTCCCCAGTTCAGAGATGAAAACTACTTTTATACAATAGATAGACTTTTGAACGACTCTCCATGCTACACTCACCAACCGTTTTGTATTGCTATGAATAAGAGCAGCTGCTATAAATGCGATGCAATGTTTACAGGCACATTTGAGTAGATAAATATGCACATATATGTGTATTTAGTACACAATCTATCCCTGTGCTGTGCTGAAATACTGAACATTATTGAAAGTTGGCTACTAATGTCTGTTGCTTCGGCTCTGGATGGGCAAGCAGTATGAATTTAAGAAAGAAAAATATTAACAAAATAAACCTGGCCCTGTTACTTTAACTAGCTAACATACTTCTTAATGATTATCCAGTGAACTGTGTGAATCTGCCACAGGGTTCTGTGTGGTGATGGTGTTGATTAAAGTTATTTTGATGCCTTTTGCATAGTAAATGTTAACTTCAGTGATGGTGCCGCTTAAACACTGCAGTAATTATAAATGGTCATGTCAGTTAGCTTATGTAGGAATACACACACACATTACCTAAGCCACTTATCCTCCTGGGGCGCGCAGAGTGCTGGAGCCTATCCCAGCAGTCATTGGGAGGAAGGCAGAAAACACCCTGGACAGGTTGCCAGTCCATCACAGGGCAGACAGACAGACACATACATCCACACACATTCACACCTAGGGGCAATTTAGTGTCTCCAATCAACCTGACTGCATGTCTTTAGACTGTATGAGGAAACCAGAGCACCCGGAGGAAACCCACACAGACACGGGGAGAACATGCAAACTCCACTCAGAAAGGATCCTGGTCGGGGAATCAAACCCAGGTCCTTCTTACTGTGAGGCGACAGTGCTACCCACTGCACCACTGTATAGTGAAACTTCATTTCTTACATAAACTGTACAGCACACAGAACATACTTTACCTCTCACGGCCTACAGTGCCCAAGTTTACATGCAGCCTGATAATCCGTTAATAATCTGACTAATAGCTCAATCGGAATAGAATACGTCCAAGTAAACACTTCAATCGGAATAGTCTAGTCCGATTGAGGCCATTCGGAACACAATTTCTATCCGATTGAACGAGGTGGGTAATCCTGTAAATAATCCGTTAAATAGAAGAATAATGGCCATGTAAACGCCTGTATCGGATTACATTCCTATCGGAACGTGTAAGTGCGTTCTGCGCATGTGCGTCGCATCATATCAAAAGCACAGAACTCATAAACCAGCTCTGGTGAAAGTTTATAACGTTCAGCATGGCGGGGGAAGAAACTGGTCTGCAGAGGAGACGAAGTTTATGCTCTGAGCTTTAAAAGACGGCGGTGGGACGGACATCCAGCTTATGTGTCTCAGAGCACGACGTCTTTCTCTCGGCCTTCTTTAATAAGGACATGTGAAGGACGTTTTCCTGAGTCTGACACATTTTAAAGCAATTAAAAACTCCAGCGCACCAACTGGAAACTCATCTCACTCTGACTGGACCTCCCGTGATGTTCGCTGTCATGGTAACGTTTACTCTAAGTGGTACTCCACGCATGCACGTCATTTGGATCGGATTACTTGTAATGACCATATAAACGAAGATTTTCATCAGATTGTTGAATAGAGTGTTCATGTAAACACCTCAGTCTTAATCTGTAATCGGAATGTATTCATTCGGATTGGCAAAAATCTTTGCATGTAAACACAGACACTGACATCATGAGACAGACAAACAGGTGTGAACTTGTACACTTATACACTCGACATAGTCATTGAATATAATAATTCTGTCAAAATTCACTGATGATGTTTCTCATGTAATACAAGAACATGACTGAAGCAGGGCCTATACTACATGATTTTAGTCTGATTTTAACCCTAAACTGCCCTGGCTTCAGGCAAGAATGACAGAGCCAGGAGAAAGAAAAAAAAGATCAGTTTAGCTTTGTTTGTATCACATGTTAACAGTGAGATCTGTGGATTTGGGGGCTTTTTTAGAGGTCGAAACTCATTTTGTATGATCAATACCCTCTTTTTGCCTTATGGTCTACTGTGAGCAACACAGACACAACAAATTTTGTACGTTAAGTGTCCGTTTTTTGTGAAATTTGTCAGCATTTTGAAAGGGATGTAGTGTATGCCCAGCTTAAAAGCAAGTGCTTCTTGAACTGGTTTAAAATATCCATGTAACATTTAACTCCGGGTAAGGCTGTGCCTGCTCTCCCATAAAGACTTCTCAAACTATGTGCCTTTTTTGTATCCACTTTTTAAAACCTATATCTTTGAATCTAATGAAGACTCAAGCCAAAAATTTCACTCCCCATCTAATGAACACCAAGCCATTATTTCCTGAAATTATTATTTAAATCTGAGATGATCCAGAAATTTTGGCAAATGTGGTGATTTGAGAGACAGATATCCAAATGTGTATGCAAACTGAAAGGAAACAGAGAAGGGGTGTCAAACTCAACCAGTAAAAGGGCCATATTAAAAAATCTTTTATTTCATTTTTAATTAATGTGCTATAACCCGAACTGGCCACTGATTATTCAAAATAACTTCAACAGTAAAATACAGACACATGTAGTAGACCTTGAAATATTACATGGACACTTCAAATGTTTACAATTTAAATTAGGGGCTTATTTGCTTGAATTAGACACCTGGCATCTTTTCTTTGCTGCAAGTTCATTAATACTTGGTCTCAATTTCCAGGCTGCTGAGCTAAAGTTAAGTGTCTATATTGGTTGAAATGCATTTTGGTGATATGACTGGTGTGGAATTGCGCGGAATTGTGTAGAATTAAGGTGTAACCGCTGTTCCATAGACTGTTGTTGGGGCAGAACAGTCAGAGCACATTACATTGCAGTGCATGCTGGGGACTGTAGTGCAGCACATGGTGAAACAGGCTAATATTAATAGAAAATTAAAATACTTTTGCAGGCCGGATAGGATTGTGTGGTGGGCCTGATCTGATCTTGTGTCTGACACACAGGGAATAGAGAGTCTAGACGCCTATAATTAACAATCTTACTATCTTTTCCTGCCTGTTCTGATGTTGGGCATAAAATCAACAAATTTGCCTACGCTGAGTCATAAACAATGCATTTGCAACGACAATTCTTTAGAAAGCAAACACAGGTGCAGGGTCACAGTGTCCATGCTAGAACGTCCTATCAGAGCAGGTCGTCCACTCTGCATTCCCATACCTACCTGCAATATACAGCCATAACCTGAGCGGCCCCTAAGTACACACGGCAGGTGTAACATCAGGTCTGCAGGTGCTTGTGATGGCACAAACAGCAGGTGTTTGGCTCTCTGTGAGTTTGTGTGTGTGAGAGTGTGTGTATATGATAGCATGTAGGTCTGAGGGAGTGTTTGTGACTCCATGTAATGACACGGTGGATTAGAACTGGGTGGGTGAGGGTAATCATCAGCAGCAATAAGCAGGTGCGTACGCTCCCATGCTCACACACAGACACGCACAGATGTGAGACGGCGAGGGTTTATGACTGTCTCCTCATCTAAGGCCGATAAGAACACGGTCTCTCCCTAGTGAGCTAGTTAGAGAGGAGCGTTTTACCCCACACTTCAGCAGAATTCCTCCAAACAACAGGTTTTTGAAGTGGTAATATTGAAGGATTATGGAGCGAGCGCAAAACTAAGTACAGGGAACAACGTTCTTTAAACTTTATTCACCACAACACATCCGTTACGTTGTTTGATGCAAAACATGTCTGTCATAAGCATGCAAACACAATGGACCGCAAAAAAAGCAATATGCCGTTTTTTTATATGATTTAAGTTTGATATTTCGTTCTTGTTTACGCTGAATGAGAGTGTAGACTTCCACATTATACTAGATCATTTTACTCCAACCCCCAGGTGATTATAAATTATTCATCATCAAAGCTTCATGAACTATTGATTATAAACATTAGTGGTATGTTGGTGCAGTTGTTTACTCTCTCCTTCAGTTCTCTTGACAGCTAAACGTCTTTACTCAATAACTGACCTGCTTCTGAAAGCACATAGACATGTACGTAGTATTTCTCCTTTTTTATAACTAACTTAACAGGCTTTCAACTCTTTTGTTAATTGTTGGCTGTTATTTTTTGCTGTAGAGATGTATTTTGGCCAGATCTGCTAACAGACTTCAATGGAACATCCTGCTTAACTAAAGCGGAGAATAAAGTTGCAATATGTATGTTTTGGGGATTTGGTGGAAGACGTGAAAGAATTTTAATATTTAATAACATTTAATAAATTTAATAACATCAGTTGTGCTTCAGACACCTCTGAGTGGATTGTTGTCGAGCGTGTGCTGTGAACATAAAGATGTATGACATGGTCTGAACAACTCCTACGAAATCCAACCCAACACCTGACTTTTAAATGACTATTTCAGGTTTTATAGGATGACACAGCAGCACACACACCATAATTTAGCATGCTTTTCAATTTAACAAAAAATATAGTGCAGCTTTAAACAGAATCTATTAAAGTTAAGGGGAAAAATGTGCTCGCAGTTAACTCTTAGGTCTGTGCCATATACTCCTAGAAACATCTGGGCTTGCATTTTGTTTAATTAGATCTTACTAGCTCACTGAAACAAGCTGAGAAATTCTACCAAAAGTGCAGATGCTAAACTTTCAGTCTTAACTTATTTAGAGGTGCCCAAACTTATTCATCTTGGGGGCCCAAAAAAGCCTATGTTTATGGTGGACTGAAGGCCAAAAAGACAAAACAATATGCAAATAAAGAAGGTAACAAGGCTTCCAGCTGTTACAATCTTATAAATTAAAATTTAAAATGTATTTTATAACTTTACACGATATGTTGTTACTAAAATAATTAAAAATATAATGTAAAAAGGAAAATCTATAAGTCTATATAGTATAAGGATATATGTGTTCTCTCACTGAGTAAGTTAGGGCAACTTTCTGGCAGGTCAAATCAAACATGCTTACGGGACAAGCTTGGGCAGCCCTTCAGAGATGGCGGTGACCCAATACCACAGGGGTTCCCAATCCCGGAGATTTACTCATTAACCTGATTCACTCATCAACTAACCAAAAAAATGTGAAAAAAATGTGCTGAGCATGGGGTTGCCAGGACTGGGATTGGGAATCCTTGCAATATCTAGGGATGATATTAGCAGAAAATACTGCATCGGACATTATGACAGGCAGAAAATGCCAAAGTCCAATTCTATAACAAATCTATCCTGAAACAGACCTTAAACACACACACTATATATATATATATGCTGTTAGCTCTGTATTTCTTCCTGTATGGTAGTGGAGTATCTGAGTAGTTAGAGAATGCTTGCCTACTTTTAGATGCTCATATTAAGTGGCTTTTAAAGAACAAATATCAGATTGGTATTGGCCGAGTGTCACTGGCCAAGTGTCAAGTGTCACAGAGCATAAATGAACATAAATGTAATTACTATCTATCTATTTATGTCATAAAAATGTATGGCAAAATAACAATAATAACTCTAGTCTTCTAAGTGTTACTGTAAACCTTTAATGACTCCTGTATGTGCCTTGCATGTATGACTCGCACCTGTATGAGGTGATCCTCCTCAGCTTGGTGACAGGAACATCATAGCCACACTCCTCTAGGACTTCCTGTCGGGCGATCTCCTCCAGCGAGAGATTTGGTTTGTCCACCAGGCCAGCGCACAGCTCGTAGGTCACGCCCGCTGAGGCTGGAGGCTGGTCAGGGTGGCTAGCCGCCTCTTCGCCCTCCTGTGGGGCTTTAGGCTCTTCTGGGGCAGCCGGATTAGAGCCCTCACCTCCCTCCTCTCCCTCCGGCTGAGGAGGTGCAGGCTTGCTCCTCTCCCACTCACACATGTAGACAGCTGCAGAAGAAGCACATGTACGAATGACACACACATCCAACACACAGAGTAGGTAGAGTTCAGAGGATATTTCTCAGTATCTTACTTTTTCTTGTATTATATTTCCACCTGAAGTTCACTTATGACATCTGTATTGTTTTATCAGTGGGGAACCCTGAGGGCCTTCTAGGGATTTCTTAGAACTGAAAAAGTATGACTAATTTTTAGTTCATTTTATTCAGTAGAATAATGCTTGTACTTACACTCTGCAAGTATTACAGTGTTATTCTTATTTCAGTGTTACGTTATGGTTGGAAACAAAAGGGTTAAATTCTTGAAATGTCCGATGTAAAATGAACAAAAGGATTTTTTTCCATCCAGGGCATCAAGGCAAGCTAGTTCTTTCATTGGTTAAGCCTTCAGGAGCTGAACTGAAAGATTAATAACTAGCATAAGTACTAGGAACTGACAGTGGAATCAACCCAGCACATTTTGGTTTATAATAGGTAGGTCCAATTTTGTGAGGAAAAAACCTGCAGCTACACTGACCCTTTGTGCATAAGACTAAACACGCTTCTGGAACATAAGTCACTGGCTGGGAATGCCAGTGGTGTCCTGACCAATGCGTGTTAGTCAGTTGTTAGAAATGGTAAACAGAGGCAGCTCTAGGGTGAATAAGGTACTGTAAAACTGCTGCATGATAAACGTCTGTTACAAATAAAACACGGAATGTATTTTACAAGCTTCAAATGTCCATGTTTAATCTAGAACAACCAAAAATGCTAATGTGAACTGCCATTAGCCTAGTGCTAACATACTACTAGAATCCCATAGCAGTTGCTATCAAAGATTAGCATTATTGTAGAAGTAGATTTAATCATTTTTAGTCTGAGTTTTGACCTGAAGGCCTAGTTCTAATAATCACTGTTTGCCACAAGGTTTTATGTACCAAAAACAGCCTTAATGCCTGTTAATTCACAAATTTTCAGCGTCTTGTCATCCCTGAGAATTAAATAGGTTGTTTTAGTTACTGTGCCTTTAAAAGTGATACATCATCTTTTTTCTTTTTGTCATGGTTTTACAGTCCAAAATGACTTGGAATAAAATCTTGTTCCATTAACTTCCATTAAAATATGTAAAAGATCTGACCGGCTGCTCTGAATTGTCTGGGCTGAAATGTGCAGTAACAACGTAACTTATCAGCTCAATGTGAAGGGTTGGCTAAACTGATGCAGGCTGCATGGGAGTATGTAAATGTTTCCATTGTTGTGACATCACAACCACAATGAATTCAAAACAAGCTGTTTTTTGCAGTGCAGCGTCCATATATGGACTGCATGGAGTTGGGATTAAGGTTTCTATGATAAGGGCACTTTAAGTTACCCAGCTAAACCAAACCCTTCTGTGTGAAAAGCCTCCCTGGACAAATGAGGGATAATCAAGCTGGCCACTGTGAATGACCCATACTCATCCCTAGGTAGCACCATTACAGCTGAAACACAATGTAAAACTTTTCAAATCAGAATCTGTAAGATGCAGGTGTATGCAGACTGTACTGTGCTGTTCTAGTCCAAAGGAAACAATGCTATAGAAAGAAAACAAGTTCCTGTGAACCAGTCGGAGGTAACAGTTTTAATCCTCTTTGATCATCTCATTAAACTATTGTATTCCTCATCAAACAGGTGGAGTTCTGGGGCAGGCTGAGGCAACCTGAGCCGTACAGTGGAGAGAACGTATACGCACGAGTGGGACCTGAGCTCAAGAGCCATCATGCTCGAGAGGCTTTGTTCCAGCACCATTACCTCACACAAAGCCCGGCCTTCTCTCGAAGCATTGTTCAAGGAACGAGGAGAAAGGAGGGGAAAAAAGAGAAGTCCCTTTCAATGCGAGACCTTCCTTCCATTCTAAGGTGCAGGGCGCCGTCCCTGGCTAGAGCGCAAGGAACAATAGCGGCGCGACGCAGCGCGGGGCCACAGCCTCACGTACCGCAGTGCGGGCCCAACACTCACACAAGCTCTCGCGCCATGAAAAATGTTCCATTACAAGAGAGCTATTGTTTCCAAAGGGGCTGACAACAGGGCAGAGAGCACTCTGCTATGAACACCAGTGTACATGATTGCATTGGGATGTACGGTAGTTATTCCGTTTATAGCATCAGGACAAAAAAAGGAGAAAACAAAAGTATAAGACTATCAGCATAACAATCCATGTGAACAGCATCTGACATTTTAACATCAATTTTAGAAATTCTTAGCATTTGTCCCTCTTCTGCTGTAATGACAATGTGCACTGAAGCCGGTACCGTCTCTGATCACTAACAGTGACTGAAGAGTAGATCAAACCCACCTGAGAGTCGTCTGAACACGAGCTTTAATAGAAGGAATAATACAAAAAAAAAAAAACTGACCTCTTTGTATAAAGGCCTTAACATGGTCAGTGTCAAATCTGCTTAAATTTGAATAGTGACTCAGAAAGAGTGTAGAATCTGCAATATTTGTGTCTTCCTGTCTTAATTTTTATTTAATTTTTTTTTAAATTCTAAAACTTTCTGTTGTGAATTAAATGAAAACAGTCCTGGTTTTGAATGTGGTCCCTCACTTTTGGAATCTGCTGTACATTTAACAAATAATTACACAAAAGCCTCCACAACTATTTAATGTGTTGCCTTTATTGTAGCTTCCATTATTTTTGGGAGATTTACTTTCAGTTTTTCAAAGAAATCTACAGCAACATTTTTCTTCTTAGCCTTTGCATTTTCAGCTTCTCACAATCCAAGTAATCCCAAACACATTCAACGATGTTAAGGTCTGGACTCTGGGGTGGTCAGTCTATTGTACTGAGAACACCAGCAGCTTCTTGGTTTGATCTGAAAATGTTCTTCTTTTTTGTCTAGTTTCTTTTCTCAGTAACAGCTTCCTGACAGCTACACATCCTGTCAGACTCAGTGTTGAGTTGTCCTCTCACAGTGGAAGGATGGACAGAAACACCTGTGGATTTTTAGGATCTGAAGTAAGAGTGGAGCTTGAATTTCTCCTCTCTCTCTAAGATGAAACCTTGAAGTACTGTTTATTTGATGGGGACAGTTTTGGTGTCTAGCAGGGCTTTCATAGTTGTTTGGAGTCCAATTTTCTCTGTGTCTTTTAAAACTTTTTTTGAACTCTGATTTTGTTTTTTTTTCCCCACTTATTTTCCTTTGATGTTCCCCTTCCTTATGCAAGTGGATTATCTGATATCTAATCTCCTCAAAAAATACGTCCTAGAAAATGAATAACTTTTAATTAACGGCCATATTGACTAGAAATTTAATAAATGAACATTTGTTGTACATATATGTCAGAAACTAATTTAAAAAGGAAATAAACAAACAAATAGACAGTGCCAGGAAAACTTTACATATACTTTGTAATATATATGCATTTTTTTCTAATCTATTTTATCTATTTTGATTTATTTATTTATTTTGTCATCTTCTGAATACAACTATTATACTATGCTTGTATACTGTAATAAACCCATACTCTGGAAAAATTAACCTTCCCTTTGCGGATCAATAATATTTTTGATTTATGGAGAGACGGTGAGTTCACACTTTAGAACGAGAAATCGAATCTAAGAAAACCAAAAAAAGTAAAAAACAGGAACACAAAGAGCTATGTATCATATTCTGCAAAAATGAAAGTATTTAGAGGGAAAGGTGAAAGAGGAAAGAGGAAGATTGCCTTTTTGGTAAAGTTATCAGAGGCCTATGGCCTAACTCGGCACATATCACCACCCTCTGCAAACAGTAATAAAACAGCTGATGTTACCAGGTGGCTGCTGAGTACTTTAGCGTTAAAGACTTGAGGTTCGGTTTAGCAACTACTGGAAATACTGCAAATATGACAAAGGAAGCCTTTCATTTCTTCTGAGGTCGAGATGATTTTGGCAAAAGGAGTGTGAGTTTGTGTTCAAGTCCAAACAGCAGACGATTAAAGATTTCTTTAAACATTTTTATATCATACCTAAGTGACTGGAAGGTGTATATACAGAAGTAATTTTGGGGGAGTGCAGAAGTTTTTTTCTGAGCTCCCTCTGTTAAGCTCCAAAAGAAAAAGTGACTGTAACTATGTTTGATCTCTTGTGGAGGCTTTTGAGCAAAAACAAGATTTATGAGTGAAACACATTTAAATATATTAAACAGGCTACATGGAGCACAGCATCATGCTGGTCAGCTGATGAGTGGTGTGAAACCTGCAATATTCATAAAGAGAGGTTATTTACCTGGGCGGAACTGCTTGACCAGGACGAAACAGTGAGAGGTGGTGTTGAAGATCAGCACAGAGACACTGAAGATAGAGAGAGAAAGAGAGAGAAGGAGGGAAAAGAGAGATGAACAAAAGGACCATTTCATAAAATGTCATTCAGATGAGCAACCATAAGGAAAAGCAGTTATTAATTATTAATCTTTCAACAACTCCAGCTGTGCTAGAGAAAGCAAAACAGAAATAACTACTACAACGTGTCATACCAAGAATACGTTAGGCTCAACCCTGTTATTAACTACACCAAAACTAAAACAAGCATCAAGACAAATCTGAGAACATGAGAAGACGAGGCTGACACCTCCGAGGACAGTTCAACTTTGGACCAGCATAAAAAGCTCTTGGCCTAATGGCCTAAAGCTCCTGCTGATCTGTTAAAGCATTGTTCTCCGTCCAGCTCAGAGAAACTCCTACGGTCACTTCAAGCTCAACAAATTTTCATATTTACAAATATGCTACTATATACTATGAAGTTTTTCAGAGGTATCCTGGGCATAGTTACAGTTGCTAGGCTATGAAGGACCAACCAGGTGAACTAATTTGCTACAGCGCCACCCTGAGGCAGACCAGGGCTACAACTCAAAGTAGTTAAGAGTACCAAAGACAGAAGCTCGCTGACTATGTGTGAAGCAAGTTAAACAACAACCTTTCCCTAAAATTGTATTTGAGTGTCTATTTGTCCCTAACAGACAGCACAACGTCATAATCAGTTTATTTTCTGGGGCCCCCAAGAAACGTTATTTTGAGATATTCAGGGGGTTCATGAGGTTAATTAGGGGGTTTCAGACCTGCAGCACTACCTGTATTTCGCACTTTGGTTATCATTATTATTGCAAGTGCCTGCGAGGTAGCTAATGCAGCTGATGTAAGCTAACATTCAAGGTAAGCTAATGAGCAGCTTAGTGAAATCTTGTTTCTTTAAAGATTACGAAGAAAGAAGATGTAACTAAAGGCACACTGGCAGAACACACTGTGATCAGTTTCAGGACTCTTGTCTAGAATGTTTGTCTTTTACTAGTAATGTCAAGTTTTCCTATAAACCCCAGGGAACCTAAGCACATGTTTTCTGAGGTTAATAGGCTGATCTCGCTCATGTGGTCAAACAATATACATGTACAAAGTATGTGCTAGGAATACCTTTCCAACAAATGACCAGTGACCGATAAAAAGCTGATCTATATTTCCAACATTCTCCTCTGTCAATGTGAAATGGGCATTTTTAATCTTGGTTAGTAACAAAGTCCGTATAGAAAAGCCTTGTTCACTCGGTGGCCAATTATTTCCAGCCATATTTTAAATTTAAATTTATTTCCAGCACATATTTTAAATCACCGATAAAATCTGAGAACAACCTTATAAATAGTTAATTGCATCCGACTCAAGTAACACACAAAAAACGTGATTCTGCAGTTTTCTCTGGCTTCTGCTTTTGTGCAGATCTCCACAACGAGGGGGGGCTTTCCGCACTCATGCCCCAACATCCTTGACCCTTCTCAGTTCGCGGCATAAGCAGCAAGCTGATTGGCTCGCTTTACTGAAGGGTGAGACTTTCTCCATAAAGGGATGTCAAGTTGAGTGTTACAAGCTTTCCCATTTATATTTTAACCAGTGACCGGTCTCTTCATTTATAACGTCTCTGGTACGTACATAAGCAGAGTCCTCGCCAGTCACTGATGAGGTTTGTCCTGCAAACACATCTTTAAACAGTGTTCCCCAACGGTCTTCTCTCTGTTCAAGTCAGAGAAATGTAGAGAGAAAGCAAACAACCAACAAAAGCTACCCTAGCAAACATATTCTAGTGAATGGACACAGCAGGGGCCAGAACACCACCTGTAAGCCTGTTCGACTCATTTCTCCCTGATAGCTCTGTTGCGGTTAGCTCTGCTTCAGTGACGTATCAGGTTGGGAATTGTCCACTGAGAACTGTCAATTATGCATCAGTGTATCAGGACCACACCCAGACGGGTCTCAGATAGGTCTGATAAACAATTTTAAGTCATATTTTATTATATTTTTCTTTCCAATTGTACTGGATGTTTAGTATAACACTCAGGCAGGTTTAGTGTCATACAAGCATTTTTAATAATTATTAATATAATAATAACAGTGTGGTCCCTGGAACTTTCATTTTATTTGTACAGGCTAGAACACAGCCAAGCCAACTCAGGAATAATTTAGGTTATGATCGCAGACATACAAACAATAACTCAAAGTATTTAAGGTAGTTGAGCAGTTTTTCAATAAACACCTTATCTACTCTTACCTGAGTGATTAATTAATTAATATTTCAACTCGTACTCAAGTGAACTATCGTTATGGTGGTAGCTCTTTTAAGAGGGAATTTTTCAGTACTCTTTCAACCCCTGATTGTAGTTCATGCCATTTGGTACTGAAAGGAGGGACTAAGCACTGCACTGAAAAGGCTTGGTGAGAAGAGCATTCAGGGAAGATAACAGCTAAAGCTCTGTGGGAGGGTGTAGTTGCCCCAGTAATGATGCTTACTAGTTCTTCTAAGGGGAAAAACAAACCAAAACATTGCACCTCCCCTCCCTTCTACCCTCATCCACAGACATCAGCTAAACCGGTGAAGATCAAACAGATTGAAAAGTTTGCTGTAGCTCACAACTGCAGGTAAATGTGAGTGCAGGTATGGGTAAAGTGCAGGGTGCATGGCTGAAGAGCCTGCTCCATCAAGCTCATACATTCGCACAGGATTAACACTCCGGCTTTTGTCTTGGTTCCTCACTATAGCTCCTGGACAGAAGCTAATACCTTGGGAAGGGGAGAATAAATACCTGCATCTTAAGGATCGCTGGATAATAGGATTTTGGCTGGCTAAGAAAGGAAATCCACCAAAAGCATGCCGGGATAGCCAGGCCTTTGTTGGTGGACCTAGAGCAAGCTAATCACTCCGCAGAGCAAGAGGTCAAGCTGTCTTTCTACAGGCTCCACTCACTCTCCCACGAACACCATTCATTCTTCTGCCCATTCTCCAGCCCTCATCTATACCGCCCAGGACTTCAGACAGGTGGAGGATGGGCCCGAGAGCCACTTGTCTTTGGCCTTGGAGCGTTGAGAAGTTAGCTGATCCGTGGCTGACTGTGTTGCGCTTGTGTGTGCGAGTGTGCAATTGTTTTGAAGGCAGTGGAGACTGAGTCTCGTACACTCTGTTGGGAAAACGGATGTGTCTGTAGGGGCAGGAAGCCCTGCCCTGTCTTTCCCATGGTGAAAGCGTTATGTTGGCTACTCCAAGGACAGACACATACAAACACAGAGAAGCAGACTGTCCTCTTCAATACACTGACATCTCCAAAGACCAGCAACAGAGTCGGGGTTGGAAAATAATGGATTCTCAGGTGCATCATGATTCCCTCTTGAAAGAATCTGCACTGATGCACAAAGCATCATACTCATACTTCTAAACTGGCTTGTGCATAAGAGTTTTTGTAAATGTCACTAGTAGCAAACATTTATGATTAAAAATAAACATTATAGGCCATATTGTATACAACATGATTGAAAGAACCAAATAAAAATGGAATTTAGCTTTTGTTAGTCTTTAGTTTAAACCTTTTAGGCAGTGAAACAAAGACGTAGGCCTACAGGCATAACAAGAGCACCTTGTGAATACATGAAATGTAGACCTAAGATGAAAATGCATGAAGCAGGGCAGACAGATATACAACAAAAATGTGTACTGGCCTTTCAGGGCCACCAAGCCAGTAAATGTTCAGGCCAAAATTAAGAATTTGTGGGCTAAACTGTAGAAACATGGTTACTGTATATAAACTGTATTGACAATTAACAAACATGCTTCACTACCAAAAAAGTCAGACGTTGATTTTTTGATTCCTCGATTTATAAAGTCAGCCAGAATCATTTTTACAGTTAGATCCTATCATAGCTTTGATTAACCAGCCCCACAGTTTTGTTTTTGGCTTTGCTTGAGATTACTGTGCAATGAAAGAGCTCAGACTGAAAGCTGTGGCCAAGGTTTTGAGTTCTAAACTTGTCGTGTTCGTCATGGTAACTGATAATATGCATGACACATCACATCCTTCTCAAAATGAAACTCCAGCCACACTAATTCTTTATCCACTTGACTCCGAACCTTCCATTTTTTTCATAGTCCTGATTATTATCCAATTCTTTTCTCACAGCCAGCAGAGCCTGTGGAGCCATCCAAAGCCAGCCATCGCGCCAAGCAAGAAATGTTTGGAGCTCTAGAACGAAGTTGTCACTTGCCGCCATATTAACTAATCATAGTGGCAGAGTTAACATTACAGTTGACCAAGCTCTGGATCTTGCACAGGGGAGTGAAAAGTACTTGGTTTGTTATTAATAGTGGCCTATGAATGTGCAAAAATCCAAGCCAATGGTTTGTTAAACAAGAACAAAAAAAAAAAGCAAAAAACTAAAAAAAATCTCCAAGGCAAGTGTCAACTGGGGCCACAGGCTCAGCATTTTTAGAGGCCAAAATGATCAGATCGTGAGATTCCCATCCATACAACCCAGCTTGGCAGAATACATCAGCTAGACCTTCTACATAATCAGAAACTTGGAGATACAGACATGCATGTAGTCACAAGCGCATACACACTTACATGCACGCACAATTAAGGAGCCTGGAAGGGAAGCCCATTATCTGGAAACACCATGATTCATTTGTGCCTGTACTCCTGATTAAGAGGGCCCGGTTCCATTTTAAGCACCTCTATCTCACCGCCACCGTTTTTCTTCTCCCTCCTGCCCCTTCCTACCCAGCCCCTTCTCTAACAGGAAGAAGTGGTGTTCCCAGCGCCCTGTCTCCCTCCTGCTCCTGAGAGGGCCTGAGCTCAGCTGACCCGTGCTGGCGCTGCAGCTGCTGGGTCACAGCACAAGCTCGTCCTGGCATGTCCCGTCCCAGAGTCCCGTTTTGAGAAACGCTGCTGCAGAGGTACCGTGGAGATTTCACACGCCATTTAGTCTGTCCTCCGTTACAGCCCTTTAACTTTTGCCAGGCCGGATGTATACAAGGAGAGAGA